CTGACCCTCACCTTCCTCATCTGTAAATTGGGGATGATACCATCTATCCCACAGGGCTATCCTGAAGATGGATGCTTACAAAACCATCTGGAACACAGAGATACTCAGTAATTCGGTAGAACAAACCATGGGACAGGCTCTAGTCTATGTGGGGGGGACACAAGCATGAATACAAAACGAGTTGCCTTTAAACTATTCAGTGCAGAAATGCTGTTAACAGGACTTCATTTTCTGCCTTCCCTATATCAGTCTTCTTTTAGGATAGCAAAAGGAGTTTCAGGAGTTAAATTCTTTGCCTTGGTAAACCTTCACCTCTGTGCTCTCAAGAGAGATCATGCTGATAGGGTAACAGCTATGGTTACATCTTCAATTCTCCAACAGGGGGGAGATGGGATGGTTACTGAATGTCATGGGAAAAATGCTACTTTTATGCTTTCAAGTTATTATCATCACTGATCCTTAATTCTTTCATGAAGGCCTTACCTAAAGGCATTTCCATGGTGAAAGCGTGCTTATTCAGCACTTTAAGTATGGAAAACAGATTCTCTCTCACTCTCTTCCCCCCTGCCTGTCCAGATTTACATGCCAGGTGAAAATTTCTGGTCATAAAAATATCAATTCCCAGTTTAGCAACCTTAGTAACCAATTTCTGGCTCACCTCCTGATTTGGGGCTCAGGTTTTACTCTAAAAACAAAAGGGCTTTCCAGAAAAATACTAGTTCAGCTTATAAACAGAGGCTGAAACAAAGTAACTAGGGGGAAAAATGTAGGAGATAGCTCCTAAACTAAAATGTTAATAACATGAAGCCCATACTTCCCTTGGTGGAGCAATTCCACAAATCACAGAAAAATATTTTTCATTTTATTTTTTTTTAAAGATTTTATTTATTTATTTGAGAGAGAGAGAGAGAGAATGAGAGCTAGAGAGCACGAGAGGGGAGAGGGTCAGAGGGAGAAGCAGACCCCCCGCTGAGCAGGGAGCCCAATGTGGGACTTGATCCCGGGACTCCAGCATCATGACCTGAGCCGAAGGCAGTCGCTTAACCAACTGAGCCACCCGGGCGCCCAATATTTTTCATTTTAGAATAGATTGGGCGAGAGCCTTTGCCAAGAGCCAGTTGTTTTAAATTTTCAATTTGAAATTTGAGCAGGATTATACATGCCCAAGAACATCATGCTATTTTTAGCTAATAGGTAGGATTGCTGTGTCCACAACAGTTTGGGGCAATCAAGAGTGAAACTATTAAATAGCATCTCTCACTGTGGTACCTTATCATTTGGCACTTCTATTTCTATTTTAATATTTTCCAAAGCTTCATCATAAAAATTCTTGTAAAGCACCCATGCTAGGCACAATACAAAGTTCAACTAGATAGACATGGTTCCTATCTTCATTATGTGTTTAACCTACACTGAATAAACCAGATATATGAAAGAATCCCAAGGTTAAAGCATTCCCATCAAGCTGCCATCCAGCCCCTAAGTGCCCAGGGGAGATACACTAGGAAGCAACTGTCCTACACTTAACACCCTTCCAATGCTTAAACCCTCTCTATGTATTAAAAGGGGAGGGGTAATGAACCCGTTCTAAAATTGACTGTGACGCTGGATATACAACGCTGGGGATACACTAAAAGCCAATGAATTGTACACCTAAATGGGTGCACTGTATGGTAAATGAATTATATCTCAAGCCATTAAAAAAAGGGAAAAATTATTCTTACTCTGATTGTTCTAATTAGTCAAAGCTATTTTTTAAGCTCTCATGCTACATGGTATCTAGCTAAAGACTGCACTGGCTTGGCAATGGAGCTCAGTGGCCACTACGGAGCTCACTCTAATCTACCCCTGGCCATACATCTTTCTTTCCCTAGTCTCTCTTCTTTACTTCCCCAGTTCTTTTCCTGTTGTTCCTCCACTCCAACTAGGTCTTAGGTCTCTCAGGTATTCCCAAGCATAGTTTGTCCCAGCTGGTGGACCTCAGACCTAAACCAACTGCTGACCCCTGGCAACTTTCCCTTCATGACCTTAGGCAAATCATGTCCTTGCTCTCCTGTCACTGTTCCGGTTTGCACAAAGACGGGTTGGAGTATGCCAACCTTTCCAGGTCCCACACTCTATGTGAAAATAAGACAAACGATGAACGCTTACATGGTCCGAAACATGCGAAGTCTCTGCCATTTTGGCCAACAGACATATATTTGGATTATTCATTTTGTAAATGGCCATGTAATACAATTTTCCAAAGAACAGTATTTAATATATTCATAAAATGATCAACATGGGGTCCTTATTTTTAAAAGCTATCACTTTATCAAAGAAAATTCAGAGCCCAATACCGAATGCTCGACAGTCCCTCTGGACCTGTCTCTGAGGGTCCATTTTCGAAAAGAACAGCAACAAAAAAAGCTTTTTGCATGTTGGGGCCCTGCTGGATTTACCAAAGCAAAGCAAGAAGTTAGGACTGGAGTGGCAGAGCCTTGCCAACAGTGGTTCAACTAAATCCTAAGAAAGGCTTTGTTTAGCCAGTGGTAGAGAGACCTAACATAAGACAGCAACTCAACTATACATTATAAACTCTCAGAAATATGCTCAGAGAGCAATACACGTTGGCAGGAATGAATCCCTTTATCCTGGACAACTTGCAGCTTTTTAGGCAAACCAGTTACATTCTCCCAATAAAACTCATAGAAATATGTAGTCACCAGTTTCCAACATACTACCACCAAATAAATTCACAGTATTGTTTCCATGTGCCCATGGAACATCACAGAGCAAAACCGAAAGAAACACATCGATTTCTCCTACACACACACACACACACACAAACACACACCCACCCAAATATGCAAGAGAAACCATTTTCTTTGCAGAACCTACAGTTGTCTTAAGTTGTGGGCATGACATGATAAATACTGGTTGCTAATAAAAATCAGATGGATAGCTCTCCACTGAGAAGCAAAGAGCACACGCAGAAATAAGAAAACCAACCAACCAACCAACCAACCAACCAACCAATAACCCTAAGGTGTGTTTCTTGTCATTAACTGAACACCAAACATGGAGAGAAATGACTCAAAGTGTCCATTTGCCTCCCTCTTTCCCTTGACCACAGACCAAGTTCTCCTGTTAGTTGCCTCCCCACACTTCTGCCCGCATCACAGAAGCCTAGAGCAGAAGGTGGCAGGCCCCTCTCTCCTTCCCCTTCAGGCCCTCGCCTTGAGGCACTGAACAGGGGCGGGGGGAGGGCGGAAAGGACAAAGGTAGGCTCTTTTCGATCCCTCACAGCTCGGCGACAGGACTCCCGGCCTCTCCCGTTCTCATCACGGAACCAGAGCACCTGCCCGGGCGAGGTCCCTTCCCCCACCCTAGTTAACCGGCCCACCGGGCCTAGGTGTCCAAGGAGTCCAGGCGCTGCAGCCCCAAGGGACAAAGGCCGGGCTTACGAAGAGGAGGGGGAGGCGAAAGAAGTCAGGAGCGGTGTGAAAACCCTCGCAAACAAAAGCGGGGCTGGGGCTGGGGGTGGGGTCCTGAGACTACCAAGCCAGGCTCGGGGGCTCCCAGAGGTAGCCAGGTTTGGCGGATTAATGCGTGTGGGGGAGGGGGGCGGTTAGAAAATTCCTCGGAGGAAAGGGATTAGGGAGCTGCGGGGACGCTGCGGCCGGCAGGCAGGAGGCTGCGGGGAGGGCAGAGGTCCCGGGGCGTAAAGGGGCACAGTTCGCGAGTGGGGAGAGGTGATGGCAAAGAGGTGAGGGCCACACAGGGCCCAGTGGCGGGAGAGCGGGCGCTCAGCCCCGGGCGGTGCTCCCCTGGGGCTGAGAGGGGCTCTCAGGAGGGGCTCCCGAGCTGCGCACCACACGGGGCTGGGGGCGTGAGGCGGAGGGAGTCCGGCGAGGGCGCAGACTAGTTGGGGGCGCAGTGTTGGAAAAGAGAGAGTTTGAGAACAGAACCGTAGAGAGGCCGGGGGCGGGGGGGGGGGACTGCGAGGGGGCCTGACCCTCGTCCGCCCCACCTCACCTGGCGCCGGGTCGGAGTCCAGGTCTAGTGCCGAGAAAGCGCCAGCTCCGGCCAGCCCCTCCGTCCCGCGCGGGAGACCACGGACACAAAGCGGGGCGCGCGGGAGGAGGGGAGGAGGGAGGGGGAGGGGAGGGGAGGGGGAGGGAGGAGGAGGAGGAGGAGACGCCTGAGGCGCGCGACGGGGGGGGAGGAGGGGCGCCCGCCGCCCTCCGCCTGGGTCACGGGGCGGGGCGTGCGGCTGGAGGCCGCGCTCGGCCCGCCAATGGCCATCCCGCCGGCCGGCCGGCCGGCTGGCTGAGGCGCGCCATCCGGCAGCTCACCTCGGCACCTGGGCCTCGGCTGGCCCCAGCCAATCAAACGCCTTCATTTGCATACCCGGCTCCGCCCTTTCGCCCCAGCCAGGGGCCGGCTCCCCGAGAGCACAAAGAAGGCCCCCCGTAGGGGGAGGGGGTCCACTCCGGAGTGCCTACCCCGACGGCCTAGCATCACCTTTTCAGTGCGTTTATGGATCTTTCTCAGTCACCCTGATGAGAGGAAGGAAGTGGGGGTCATAGGGGTTTGGACCAAGATCCCTTAAGAGGTCGCATCTCTTCGCCCTGAGGTCCTTCTACCCGAGTGCTACTCTCCTCCCGTCCCGCCGCACACATTTGCGTCGCTTCGCCTCTGAGCCCTGCACCTCCGCCCCTCTTCCCCCTCCCCTTTTTCCAGTCGCCCCAATCTCTGTGCTTCCTTCCGTAGGCTGCTGCCCACTACTGGCCTTCCGCTGCACTGCAGCCCTCCTCCGCAGGCTCTGAGCACAGCCTCCGAGAGATGCTTCCAAAGCCGCCCAAACCTACCCGTGGCCAGAAGGAAAACCAGAGGAAGAGGTTACTGCCCTAAGGCAGAAGGGGCCTGATCGAGTGGCTTTGGTACCTGTGATGGCAAAAAGCCGACACTTTGGTCTAAACTCCCCAAGTCATCTTGTCCAACCTTCCATCTCCTACCTTCAGGTCTGTACTGGGCCACAATGGTGACTGACTGACCAGCCCGTTTTAGAGCAGCTGCAGCCTGCTCGTGGGTTGCATTCCTCAGGTTCACGCCATTCACCTGTCCAAAGAGAGGAGCTATGAGCCATCCCCAAAACAAGAAAGGCCGTCCTCTGTCATAGCAGTTAGGAGAGGGAGATGGGTAGCCCATCACTAAGCCTACTCAGCTGCGTTTCTCAATATCCCATCCTTGCCCCTAAGACGCGACCAAAAGAACATGACATCTCTAGTGTAATAATTATCTTTGTGGGGGTCAAATGCCAACCAGGGTTAAGATCCAGCACGCATTCATTTCCTCCTCAAGGATAAGTCTGGGCTCAGTCCCTGGCACTCCCTAAGGTCATCTCTAAAGAGAATATTAGGTTTTCTCCAGCTCAGCCTTCCCCCATCTCAAGAAGCATTCCTTGGAGAAAGCAAGATCTCCCCTCCTCCCTTTCAGATTGGCATGGCTCCCATCATCCCACCTCTCCTTTGTCTCCTCACCGATAAGATCCTGTCTCCCCTGCGCAGCTCCCCACTCAGGTCAGCTGGGCCTCCTGCCAGGATGAAGGAGACAAAAATGCCTTCTCCATCCTCTCCTCCTACGATGTTGAAGCCCAGGCCTGTGGAGCCCTTGTGCAGGATGATCTTGCGGGGCTCTCTGGGGGGAAAGAAGTAGAAGGGTAAGGACAAGGTGGCTATAAACTGTTGTCCCTGTGAGGGCCAGCCTAGAACAAGGCCCATACTGCTGTAGCATGACTAGGTCCCTTTATGTATGATAGCCGGTTCCTTCCTTCCTCTCCCGAAACCTGCTTGGCTGCTGTCTTCTGCCAGGTGCCAAGTTTCAGTTCCTCTTCCCTCCCTTCTTCCTGAGGGCTTGCAGTCAGCTTCCCAGTGGACAGTCCCCTGCTCTCTCAGTTCAACACACCCGGACCCCGTCTGGAGGCCGTCATCTCAGAGCCCGTTCACTCATCCTTTCTCCCCAGATTCTCCTATCCCACCACCGGCGTGAGGGACCTGGGCCACGACAACGGGGACCAGTTGGGGGCACTGGAAATCAGCCTGGGGTTGAGCGCACTCGCCAGCTGCAGAGTGTACCTACTTCCTTTGCACATATGCTCCTCCACAGTCTCAGAATTCCACGCACCAACTGTGACCCCTCCTACCTTCCCCAACCACAGACTTGGTCACGAGCTACTACTAGGTGCCCTTGCCAGGTGATGTGGGAGACAGGTAAAGAAATCCCAGGTCCCCAGAAGGAGCTGAGGAGCCTAACTTAAGAGAGCTAACGCATGAAAACTCCCAACTGCGACTAACCATGTTATGTCTGGGGCAGCCCTCTGGAAATGGTCAGTGTCATCAGGTGAGAGCTACGGCCGCTCGCGTGTATCCACACAACCCGACTCCCAGCACACTTTTCCTGGCCCACCGCCTTCACTCGAAAGCATCTTTCCTCAGAAGAGCCCCAAGTCCAAGACTCCTCCTTTGTTGCTCCCAGTCTTGGGTGCAAGGCTCCCGCCCTGAGTCCCGGATGCTCTTCGCTCAAATCCCTCTCTCCTCCTACCTGGCATCCCCTCCAGGCCGCAGCGAGCGCAGAGGCCAGGCCCACCTCTGCGAAGCCCTCCTCCAGGCCGAGGCCGAGGCCGGGCCCAAGCCCAGGGCCAAGCCGGAGCCTGAGAACTTGCGTGCCCTCTCCATGGCT